TTTATTATATTTATGTTTTATTTGTAAAAACCAAGTTATGATAAACTTATGTCTAGGGATTTTTCTTGTTCTCACTTCCCAGATCTGACTTTAGCTGTGCCCATCTGTAACTCTCTGGCCATGGTCTTCACGCTGATTATTGGGAAGATCCTTGGAGAAGATGTTGGTGGAAAACGTAAGTCAGGCTGCTGCCTGTAAGGATAGCTGCTTGGACCTTGACGTATGTGAGCATTTCCCCCGAGTCTGTCTCCTGTGGGTGAGAGAGGAGAGGCCTTCCCTGATCTTGCCCTGGGGTAGGAATCGGGACCAGGCCCCGTCAGTCTTCCTTGGCCCAGCTCACCCCCAGCCCCTTGATGTTTTCTTTATCTCAGAGGCAGTGGCTGGCATGGTACTCGCCATCACTGGGGTCACGCTTTGCATCACAAGCTCGGTGACCAAGACCCAGGGCCAGCCCTGACTTCAGTTCTGCTGTGCTCTGCTGTGTTCAGCAGACTCCAGGCACCGAGGTGCACCCGGGGATACACCAGCTTGGCTCGCTAAGCTTAGCCTCCTCATCTCTCGGATCACATCTACCTCAGGGTCCAGAATTCCACGACAGCCAAGGAAGGCTACATGGAGAAACCCTGTCTCAAAAAAAACAAAAAGAAAAGAAAAAAAATATAAGAAAAAAGGAAAAAGGACCAAGGACCAGCCCTGGGATGGTTTTGTAATCTCTGGTGGGTTCAGCTATTGAGATTTAGCACTGGAGCCAGGAGTAGTGGCATGTGCCTTTAATCTCATCACTCAGAAGGCAGCTACACAGAGAAGCCTTGCACGAGAGAGAAGGAGAAGAGATTTCACACTGGAGACTTTTGCACACATACCCCCAGCGGCCCCTGCCCAGCAGCCCCTGCCCAGCAGCCGTCTGTTACTGGCCTGCTGGCCTGTTCCAATCCACATAGCCTCGGCCGTGTGGAAAGGTCTGGCTGCAGTCTCTGAACCGCAGCTCCACAGCCTCATCACTGGGCATTACTCAGGGAGAGTGGTTACATGGCAGGTGGAAGAAAAATGAGCTCAACTTCCAGTTCCTCGAGTAAGGAGACAGCTGTGCCCAAGCAGCACCTCGCCGCTGCAAACACCTGGCCAGCAGCAGCTTTCAATAAATCTGCAGCAAACAAATCTTAGCAAGTATTACTTTATTGTGACAAGCCTGCTCCTAAACCCAGTCTGCGGTGCCTTTCTCTGCCAGGGAATCACACAAGGAAGTGGCCTCCACAGAATTTGCGGGCTTATGAATGGGGAGGGGCTGAGTAGGCCATACCTACTGCGAGCCCACTGAGGCCCGGCTTCTCGGGAGCAGGCTGCTGAAAGCTGGGGTGGTTTGGGATGGTTGTCCTCAGCCTCTGACTGGCGTTCCTGGCACTTAAGATGGTGGCACACGCCTTGGCTGAACATGAGGCTGCCTCTCCCGGGCCAGGCAGATGTTGAGGGACAAGGCCTTTTCCCCTGTCTCTGCTGCCCTCTGCTGGACATGTGGAGACATACAGAGCCATACAGATGCCCAGCTTGCCTCCACTGCCAGAAGTCCCCAACCCAGGAAAGGAGACTGGGAATGAAAAAGCCTCAGTAATTAGGAAACAGGAGGGCAGGCTTTCGGTCACCAGGAAGATGTGTCCTGGGAGCCCAGACTTTAGCTCAGACCTCTGCCATCTCAAGGGTAAGGCTTCCCAATCTGATGGGCTCACCTGACCCACAGGCTCCTCTATGCAGGTGTTCTCGTCTTCATCCACTTCCTGAGCCCCGGCTGTCTCCTTTCTTGGGTAGGAAGCCCCATAAACTCCCTTAACTCCTAATAAGGAGGCAACATTGGTTGACGCCCAGGCTGAGAGGGTCCTCCACCTTCACTGCCTTCACCTGCTACACCAGTTCCTTCCCCTGAGCCTGGTCCCACGTTCTCCAATGCCTCCTAGGAGGGCGGGGATGTTGGAGGCTTGCCTTTAGCTCCCAGCTGCGATTCTACCTCCGAACCTCTTGACTAAGCAATGTCTTTTCTGTGTGGTTTTTACATATGTCCCTATGAAAGAATCAGTGACTTGGAGGTGGAAGACCGGCACTCAGCTCTGCTGAAGCCCCCTGCAGACACCTCCAGCATGTGGTGGACCTGACCTGAGCTGGCCTGCTTCCCAGAGTGTAAGAAGGAGGGAGGATGTGAAGGGTCCGCCCCTCCTCACCTGATGGAAGTGAGAGGGGAGAGAGCCTACTTCCTGGCCGAGTGGACTGCTGGGATCTGGCGTAGAAATCAGATGGCTCAGTTTGTCTCGGTTCCTCTGGAGAAGGCCGAGCCGCCTGAGCCTGGTGGCCCTGGGCCTACAGGAGGGACACCGAGTTAGAATCCATTTGTTGACTGTTCTTACCTTCCCTGCTGCCCAGAGTGCCCTGCTGCCTACAGGCTTGTGAGGGCTTGCTCATGTCCCGCAGAGTCTGCATCCTTCCCGCCCGCATTTGCTCCTCTCTGGCTGTCCACCCAGGAATAGTGCGCTTGATACCGGCATCCAAAGATGCCCAGGGAAAACAGGCTGCTTTCTACTCTGGTGCCACATGCTCACTGGTTCATCTGGGAGAATGGAGGCCTGGAATAGGGTGGTGAGTGGAGGTTCCGTTGGGCCCTGCTATGCCAAGTAGCCAGTTCCAACAGCCAGCCTAGGGGGAGGCATTTGGCATGGCATGTGCACTCTATAACTGCTAGCCCAAGGAGGGGGAATCACTACTTCATAGGAACCCTCAGCCAGTCATTCCCCTGCGTCCCACTCTTACCTACCCCCTGCCTGTGGGACTTCTGCTTCCGGCCTGGAGGATACCTGCAGTGAGAGACAGGTTTGTAGTGGACAGAGGAGCACACAGTCGTAGCTCCCAGGCAGGGGGCACTTCCCCTGTTGTGACCTGTGACCCTCCACCTTAAACAAGCATACCAGCAGCCCTTGGACAGAGAGGGGCTGGGCACCAACAGCTCCATGTAGGGGAGGGCTTTGAACTCCTCTTCTCCGACAGCCACGTAGTGACGGCCACTCACCAGAGCTGTGCCTGCTGACAGTGGGAGCCCCCTGAGGGTGCAGAGTCTGTGGGGGGAGAAGTGATGAGGGCTGCTGGGTAACTGGCAGATGCTGAGGTAGGGACAGCTCCTGGGGGATCATCTGACTTTGGTCCTCTGGGCAGTGTTAACCTAGGTTCTGGCCTGATTTGAAGGGCTGGGTTAGGGAGCCCGTCCTGAGGCACAAAAGAAAGCCCTGCTGGAGAGAACATGCCTTTCCATGCCCTTCCCAACTTAAGAGCAGCAGGGCTCTTGGGAGCCTGCCCCCTCCTCCAGTTCCCATACTCACTGGTGCACAGCCCCATTCTGTAACCTGGCCTTCTCCGTCAGCAGCTTCAGTACCGTTTCCCAGTCCTGGACGGCAGTCTGGGACAGCTTCAGACTAAAGGGGGGACTTAGCAGGTCCCCATTCCTGAACACACTGAGACAAAGAACAGCTAGGTAAGGGGATGTGTCCCTGAGAAGCCACATGTGAAAGGGGCACAGGAACCAAGTGACCCAAGAAGCACTTTACATGTTCCAGTTTTAATTTTCCCTTGTGTAATGTGTAACGGGGCTCCTGGGAAAACCACTGACACAGAAATCCATACCCCCAGCCCCAGGGCAGGCACTCACAGGATATAGCAGGGGGTTTCTGCTGGCAGCCACTGTCCAGAGGCCCCGTCACATGGGGGGTGAGACATGAGAGGCTCCTGAAACCCAAGCCAGGGAAAGTCCAAGACTTCGCTTGGGACTGGCTGGTTCTAAGAACATGGGGTGAGCAGGCAGGAAGCAAACTTGTGCAGGAGAGCGAGTGAGTAGGGACGAGTGCTCACACCTTTCTGAGAGGTGCACCTGTAGTCCCTGAGTCACATGACTCCTGCCCTTGCCCTGGGTTTCACAACTGTCTCATTCTTTGGCGTGGCCTGGAGATTAGGTAAAAGGCAGGGACTGAGCAGGGGCTGGAGTGAGCACAGCGTGTCCTCTGGACTGGACACCTCCTGCTGTTTCCAGGACCCTTTTCCACCCAACAAACTGGAGCAGTCCTAAGAGGAGGGATGGGACGAGAAAGGCTGCAGTCTCCCCGGACTTACGTGTTGTCGGCCGCTTTTCCCGCCTGGGTGTTTCCTTCCAGGAGGCAAAGAGCTGAAAGGACGAGTAGGCAGAGGCAGGTGGATATCAATGAGTTCAGTACCAATCTGGTCTATAGAGTGATTCCAGGACAGCCAGGGCTAGGAGCCAATAAAGATCTAGCACTCCAAAGTGAGACTGAGACGGGAGGATGGAATCCCTCAAGTGGGCCAGTCTACTCTGTGTGACTCAAGATGAGATTCAACTTCTGAGCCTCCGGCCACCACCTCCCATGTGGTTACTAGTCTGACTCCAAAATCTCTCATTTGATCTCCTGCCCCTCCCCCAATCATCTCTCCTTTCTTTCTCCTGCTGTAGCTAAGCATCTCAGACTCTCCCTTAGGCTAGGCTGAGGTCATCTTTCAGTAGCTGCCCAGCCCCTAAGTGTCCTTCCTCACTGGAGCACTCTGCCTTTCAGTAGCTGCCCAGCCCCTAAGTGTCCCTCCTCATGGGGAGCACTCTGCCTTTTCTGGGCCAGGAACATGTGGACATTTGAACTTGCTGCAGGATCCCAGAGAACTGAGTCGTGTGGAAGACTGGGGGAAGCCATAGTATCTTACTGTAGCCCAGAAATTCCCCACTCATGAGGTGACAAAGATGTGGCTTGTTCAGAATTCCACAGGAAGTGTCCAGACACCATGTTCCTTCCCTATAATAAACTTAAACTACCCCAGCTCAGTGTTCAGAGCAGGGTTAGGAGCTAGGCCTGCGTGGGAAGCTCAAGTCATTTGTGTGTGTGTGTAGTTTTTGAGACAAGGTTTCTCTGTGTAGTCCTGTCCTGGCTGTCCTAGAACTAGCACTGTAGACTAGACTGGCCTTGAACTCACAGAGATCCACCTGCCTCTGCCTCCTGAGTGCTGGGATTAAAGGTGTACGCCACCACTGCCCAGCTTTCTCCAGCCTTTTTAATCTTGCGTGTTTGTCATGCAGGTCAGGGAACAACTTGCCAGTTCTTTCCTTCCTCCATGTGGGCTCTAAGGACTTTGGCAGCAAACTGCCTTTGCTTGCTGAGACATCTCTCTACTCCTGAGAGCTGTTGATTAAATCCATGCCATCACCACCAAACCCTAAAATTGTCCACTTCCTCCCTGCTGCGCTTAAGCGTCTGAAACTCCTGCTAGAGTAGGGACATCTCTTTCAGCAAGATGAGGGTCAGGTGGCAAAGCTACACAGAAAATCCTGTCTCAAAAAAAAACAAAAAGCTGGAGAAAGGGCTCAGCAGTCCAGAGCCCTCTGCTTTTACTGAGGACCTGGATTGAGCTCCTGGTACTCACAACCATCCTTAACTTTATAGATCTATAAAGCTCTATATAGAGCTATAAAGAAACCCTGTCTTTTTTTTTTTTTTTTTTTTTTTTTTTTTTTTTTTTTTTTTT